AATAGCAGGGGAGTAAGAAATGGGAGGCAGGCGTGTAAAACGCAAGAGGGTGATGGGTAGCAAAGCGGGGGTTGGCAGCATGGAGAAAGAGGGTGAAAGTGGAAGAGCGAAGATGTGAGTTTCCATTTCCTCCTGCGCCGCCTCCCCCCCCTGCCCCCCTCCCTCTTACCAAACCCCCGTCCTCGGTTCAATTAGCAAAGCAGCAGGTGCTCCCAGCAGCTCAACAGATCAGCTCAGAGGAAAGGCTCAAGCTTTTCCCTTTCTTTTCTTTCCTTTTTATGATGACCTGCAAATGTGATACTTCACACCCAGAATGGGTGAGCGCTTTCCTCCACCAATTTCAGAGGTGATAATTTAACTTTTACCTCTCTACACCCCAACCCCTCTCTCTCCCCCTCTCTCTCTCTCTCTCTCTCTCTCTCTCTCCTGTTTCTCTTCTACTTTCTGTCTTTATCTTTTCACCAGATGTCTGCTCTGAAGAGTAAGCTGAAGAAGCAGTCCACAGCAACAGGAAGTGGTGTGGCCCGGGCCTTCCTGAGAGCGCAGGCCGCTCTGTTTGGATCCTACAGAGACGCCCTCAGATATCGACCTGTAAGGATTCAACGCCTTTCATGGTGAAATCCAAATGTTTTCTGCAGATGTTGTTGTTGTTGTTGTTGTTAGAGGTCATCAAATACTGTCAGGTTACAAAAAAAAACAACAACATGTTTTTTTAGTCATGTCATCTCACTGTGTGAAAGCACATAGCGTTACTGACACTGGGCAAACCTGTAGGGGGCAGACTTTGAGACGATGCTCTGGAACATAAGTCAGTTCTGCTCGGTTCTGCCGCCCTGGGTTTCGAGTCTGGATCGGCTGGGAAAACTCCAGGAGAACCCAGGTTTCTCTGTTTTTTATTTAGTCACGTCATCTCACTGTGTGAAAGCACATAGCGTTACTGACACTGGGGAAACCTGTAGGGGGCAGACTTTGAGACGACGCCCTGGGACATAAGACAGTTCTACGATGCTCTGGAACATAAGTCAGTTCTGCTCGGTTCTGCCGCCCTGGGTTTCGAGTCTGGATCGGCTGGGAAAACTCCAGGAGAACCCAGGTTTCTCTGTTTTTTAAATCACGATTTCTCATTTTGAACAGCATTAATGTTGCGCTGCATTAGTTTTGACATTTTGAGCAAGTTAAGGTAGGGAGAATGGTCTGAAAAGTCAGTTCTAATGTTTGGTTTGGTCACAGCTGCTCTGGAGTTACTCAGTGTGATTCTTACTACTTTAATTGGTTTTGACATTTTGAGCAGGTTAAGGTAGGGAGAATGTTCTCTGGAGTAACTCAGTGTGATTCTTACTACTTTAATTAAGAGGCTAAACCTCAGCCTTTTCACACTTTAATTTAGTGCATATTTGTCTTTTTAATTAAAAACATTTTTGTTTTACTTCCTGAAAAACTAAAGAAAAGCTCTGGAAATAATCTGTCTCTAAATATGTTATGAATAATGAAAGCATTTTTAAGACGGATCAGATTTTTTTTCCATCAATTATCATGTTTTACTATCACGATACAGTATATTTATAAATATAGTAATAATATTCCAGTAAATTTACTAGTTTCTATCAATATTTAAACACGCTCAATAATACATTAACATATATTTACATACTTGTTCACTGTGCTGATGTGGCATGAACAAATTCATGTTACATTTTATTTGTCGTGATATTTTGAGCAGCTTAAGGTAAAAAAATAATAATATCTGGTCCACATTAACTGGGTCAGTTAATTTTTTTATTTTTTTGTTCTATGTTCAGTAGTGACTTGGTGACAATGGTGTAAATGTCAAAAGTTTCCAGGTTTTCCCTTTGGCTCCTTCAGTGATAACGACAGCATCAGGTTTTTTTTTTTTTGGGACGTTTCCAAAACCACACACTGGAAAACAGCGTAAAACAGAAACTCTTTCCGACATCTGTCTCCTAATATTTACTCTTCAGAATGCCTAGTCTGTGGTTGTGATCTCGGAGCGTGTGTGTGTGTGAGTGTGTGTGTGTGTGAACCGATGCAACTTTTACAGGAGCGGTTGAACCGAGGCAGGTTTGACTGAAGTAAAAGGTATGTTGTTCAGTGGGAGAGCAGAGCTGAGGTGGGCCTGTCTGAGGCAGTGAAATGTCAGAGGAACTGAGAGAGTCAGGACGTTCTCTTTTGAAGCTCCTTTTTAGCCACCTTTGGTGTTTTACTCCCCTTTGCCAAGTCCTTTCAGCATGTCTGTATCTTTTTCTTCTTGTCAAATCCGAGTCGGGGCAAAGCAAACTACAGCGTGTCCTGTTTGTCAGAGAGTGAGCCCTCTGTTCCTTTGGTCTGGAGATTAATTGGACGTTGGACTTGTGGAGCCAGGATGCTACATTATTGAAGCCGTCTTTTTTTCCCCCTCTGTGGAGACGGTGTACGGACGAGCTGGAGCTCATGTTTTTGTGTTGGTTTTGTTTTGTTTTTTTTGCACAACATGCAGTAAATTCTCACTCCTCTCACTTTGGTACTTCAGAGTATTCAAGACTAGATATCTAGATTAAAGGTCCTGGAGGTGAAGTGCAGAACACACACCAGCAGGAAAACATGTGCATCCACAAAGACACCAGTGACGACGCCCGCGTCTGGGTATTTCTGGAGTCTCACCTCGCCGGTCGTTCAGAGGTGAGGTGAAGACGTTCCCGTCTCAGACAGATCTGCTCAGAGCGCTGCGGTTCACGGGCCCATATGCTCCGACAGAAGGAGGGGTGTGGAGTCTCTGTGGAGGTCTTGCTGAGCTGTAAATGAAACAATACGGGAAAATGTTAATGAGTTGTAAAGCAATCAGCTGATTAGAGCGGCGTCTCCCAGGTCATCGTTTTCCCCCCGTGGTTTTCTCACCAGCAGATCGGAGCTCACTTGACTGGCAGAAGAGACTGAAATAGAAGTCGAGAAACTATTGAACCTCCACGGTCGAAGAGGTTCTCCAGGTTATATTTGGGCCTTTGGATGTTGAAATAGGCGCGAAGTAGAAATGTTATAATCCAGAAGTGATCACACTGTCAAGTTACTGTGTGCTAAGTACTAGTACTACAGTATAATTAGGTGTTGTGAAAACTCTGGAACTATGTTAGCAAATTTGATTGGTGTTGTGATAGGATTATGGGTAAAAAAAAAATATATATATATGTATATACATAATTATGTATATGTATATACTGTATATACATATACATAATTATGTATAGATGTATATACTGTATATATAAAAAATATATATATTCATATACATATATGTTTATATATACACCTATTAATATATAAATATATATATATAAAAATATATGTATATTCATAAACATGTATATATGTTTATATATACACTTATTAATATATAAATATATATATATAAATATACACATATATGTATCTATATTGTTTTTTTAAGGGAGAAAGGAGAGTGAAATTACAACATTAAACTGCAGAAGGCAGTCGTACATATATCATACATATATATGTATTGTGTTGTTATTTTAGCTCTAAATGAAGATCTGCATCTTCTGTAATAGATTTGTTGAATTGCTTTAAAAAAAAAAACAACAACTCAATCATAACCTAATAATCACATGACTTCATGCTTGTTGTGACCATAAACATAACGACCCATTCATCATGTTCCTGATTGGCTAACCGCGCTAACACAAAGAAAACAGAGTAAAGCAGCAATGCTTTTACTGTCCTGGGAAAAAAAGGTTGTCTCCCAGTTCAGCCGTTCCATGTTTCTGGTCATGCTAATTAGTTTTCGTTCACATTTTTAGCTAATTTTTTTTTCAATGTTTGCGATCATTGTTTGTTGTTCGTGCTGCGGAGCGTCAGTGACCTAGCTACGCTAACATCAGGCTACTCTAAACTCCTTCTCTTTTGCATGAAAACGTTGCTGTAATGTGATGTGAAAACTTTCTGTAATGTAAGTGGAGCATCGTCCCCGTCGTGATGAAACTGGGTGCCACCGGTACCAGGCCTCAGAACAGGCCTGCTCTTCACCGCCGTTGAGTTGTTTGTGTGCGATCATAGCCTGGAACAGACAAAGCACATTGTTTTACAGCAGGGTGAATTAGAGCGGCGTCCAAACGTGTGAGAATTATGTTAATGATGAGGAAACATCTGTGGGGCTGTGAGGGATTGGCCCGCGGTGCTTCTGTTGTCAGCCTCCGTGTCTTTAGCTCACAGGCCAACACACATGATGTAAGAAATGGTAATAATGTGATGATGTGTTGGTGTGCAGCACAGAGGAGTTTACTGGGACACCGTCTTCTGGTCCAGGGGAGAGAGAGTGGATGTTCTGCTCGGGGAACACATTCAAAAGAAGAACTGTTTTGTTTTGTGTTTTTTTCTCTTCTTCTTCTTTATAGAAATATTTTTTCTCCTCCTTCCTCCTCTTTGCTTCCCTGTCTTTATTCGACTCATTTTCTCTTCCGCGCTGTGTTAGACTCACAATTGGAGTCAGACAAGGCAGAAAGAAATCATTTGAAATAGATTTTTTTTTTTTTTTTGACTTCATAATGGTGACAGATGTGATGTGAGTGTCTTCGTCTCCTGAATCGTATTTTACGCCACACTGTTTTGGTTCAGACCCCCTGCCTTTCAGGACACCCAAAAGCATCTGCCTTCCTTCCTGTGGCTCATTACTGAACCACGGTAACACGGTCGACAACAGATTGAAACAGAGAACACGGAGCGAGAATGAATTAGAAATCGTCATGTGTTTAAATTCTTTGCCAATAATCTCTGTCTGCACTCCTCAGGGGGAGCCAATCACGTTCTGCGAGGAGAGCTTTGTGAACCATCGCTCGAGCACCATGAGAAGCTTCCTGTCCATGGCTGTCAACCTGCAGCTCTTTAAACAGGTACAAACACCTGTCTGCTTCTCTGTGTGTGTGTGTGTGTGTGTGTGTCAGCCTAAACTAAATACCTATAAAAAAATTTAGCTGATGACATGTGGAAATTCTGGCTTATTGAATATTTGTCAAAAACACAACCGTCAATCTTTCTTTCCCCTCCTGTAAAATATTATATACCATAAACATCTGCTGTCACTTATAGGAGCCACTGCCTCGGCACGGCTGCACCAGAAGCCTCTATAAGCTCCAGATAGGCACAAACACAGGATGAAGGATGAATGATAGAAAAAGAGTTCTTATATGACAGGCTACTCTGTCCTCTCCCATCAGTGTCAGTTTATTTTCACGCTGTTTGTTTATTTTCCGGAGCACAGTTTTATTTAGAAGGCTAAAAAGTCTTCATTCTTTGCAGCTATGAGACGTCTCTCAGCACCTGCTCCACTCGGCAAACTGTCAACAGGGTAAAGTTAGCGTTTAGTATCTTGACAGTTGAGCCGTTCTGGTGGGAGGTAAAATGGAAACGGGAGAAAGAAAAAAAAAAAAAAAAAAGAAGCCTGGGATTATGGATGGTTGTTGACCCTCCGACTGTTTACTGTGGTTATCGCTCTGCACTCGTGCTAACGTCGCTGTGTTTACACCACGCAGGCTAACGTACAAACACAACCCAGGGTCAGAAAACTGGGTCACGGTTTTACTCCTGTGTTTCCCAAACCATATTTTAAAACCTTCACGACCCAAGTTAATAGACATTATTTGTAAACTCCTGGGAAACATGATACGACCAAAAAAAAAAATATTTTGTGACCCACCTGAGGGTCGCGACCCAGCCTTTGGGAAACAATGGTCTACTCCGTATTTGAAAGTATGTGTGTGGGTAAACATCCTGATGAGCGCGGACCCAGGCAACATTAAATCATGTTTATTGGTATGAGGACACGGTGGTCACTCCTTCAAACTTCAAAGGGCTTTGATGATGGTCTGGTAATGACTTACAGCGCTGAACCTACTGTAAGTCTTCAGCTCGGCCTTTTTTATGGTCTGTCCAGAAATAAGCTCATGTACTCGTTATTTACTCATACTGTCTTTAGGAGTAGTTTTCCCATCCTTAAGACTGACCTTTGATCCTTGAGATTTTTATTTTTTTACTTTAACTCCAGGACTAATGCAGCCATGACAACAACAGCAGTTAGGTGTCTCCAACGCTGCTAAGACGTGGTCGTCACGGTGACATTTAATCTTCGTAATCTTAGTAAGTAGCGGACAGAAAATGTAGTGGCAAATTTTTTTTTTTCTTTCTGCAAAATGCCTTTGACGAATCAGGGACAGTCTGAAAATGTCTCTGAGGAGAGACAGAAAAAAAAAAGTTTAAACTTAAACCTTAAAAAAACTATTTTTTTTAGTAATAACTGAGTAAATAAGAAGAACTAACTACATCGATGTATCTAAAAATATATTCTGTGTCAATAAAGATGATTCTGCATCGTTTACGACACAGAAAGTGAGCAGAGCTTTCACACCACTATAACCTTTCAGTTGAAAACAGCGCCCCCTGCTGTCTACGTTCTGTGTGAAACAACAACAAACACACTGTAAAGGCTTGATCTATTTACAGGCAGAGGATCGAACTAGCAACCAGAGAGAGAACAGCTCACCGTGGTCTACAATTAGTGAGCAGTGTTTTGATGAACAAACTAAACAACACATACACTCTGCAGTGGTGCCTGATGGGTAATCCTGATCTTTGGAGGACAAATTTGAAGTTCCCGTAACATAAATTATTAAACTCTAAGACAAAAGGGATTTAAAGGTTAGGCTAGCTTTAGCTCCTCGGTGTGTGTGTGTGTGTGTGTGTGTGCAGGTATCCTTTATTCATGTGTAGTTACAGCAGTTTCCCTTCAAATCACTCATGTATAGTTAATACGCTCGCCCTCCAAATCCCTTCAGCAATACTAAAGTTGGCGGAGCCCGAGCCGAGGTGCAGAGACACCTCCAGCTCTGAGGAGGAACATTTTCATCTCACCCTCTTGAATTTTTCTTTGCGCTCTCTGACCCGTGATCGGAGTGTGATTTACCCCCGAGAGTTCCAGCACAGCGGCCCTCAATCAGTCTTTTGTTTTTCCCGGACACTCCGCTCCATCTCTGTTTTTTTTCCCAGGCAGAGCAGATAGTGAGAATCAGTTCAAAGTATCCTCCTCCCGGCTGCCTCCTGCTCCAGCAGTAGCATTAGGAAACAGGCCCTTATCTCCTCCTCCTCCTCCTCCTC